AAACCTGAAAACTGTCATTCATAATCATTTTCCTACATAATCTATTAGTAAAACATGATATAATTTGTCACAGAAAACTTGAGCTTCAGGCATATGCCTGAAAACTTGCACCCATGTTAAAATATAATCTCGTGGTAGAAGATCTAACGAAGAAATTTGTGGTTGTAAGAAATGAAGCATGTGGTAGTAATTAAGAGAAATGGTGGAGGTAGTAATGGTGGTAGTAAGAAATGAAGGTGGTGGTAGTAATTATGAGAAATGGTGGCGGTAGAAATGGTGGTAGTAAGAAATGAAGGTGGTGGTAGTAATTATGAGAAATGATGGCGGTAGAAATGGTGGTAGTAAGATTATGAAGGAGGTGACAGTAATTATTAGAAATGGTGGTAGTAAGATAAGAAGGAGGTGATAGAAATTATGAGAAATGGTGGCGGTAGAAATGGTGGTAGTAAGATTATGAAGGAGGTGACAGTAATTATGAGAAATGGTGGTAGTAAGATAAGAAGGAGGTGATAGTAATTATGAGAAATGGTGGCGGTAGAAATGGTGGTAGTAAGATAAGAAGGAGGTGATAGTAATTATGAGAAATGGTGGCGATGGAAATGGTGGTAGTAAGATATGAAGGAGGTGATAGTTATTATGAGAAATGGTGGCGGTAGAAATGGTGGTAGTAAGATAAGAAGGAGGTGATAGTAATTATGAGAAATGGTGGCGGTAGAAATGGTGGTAGTAAGATAAGAAGGAGGTGATAGTAATTATGAGAAATGGTGGCGGTAGAAATGGTGGTAGTAAGATAAGAAGGCGGTGATAGTAATTATGAGAAATGGTGGTGGTAAGATAAGAAGGAGGTGATAGTAATTATGAGAAATGGTGGCGGTAGAAATGGTGGTAGTAAGATTATGAAGGAGGTGACAGTAATTATGAGAAATGGTGGTAGTAAGATAAGAAGGAGGTGATAGTAATTATGAGAAATGGTGGCGGTAGAAATGGTGGTAGTAAGATAAGAAGGAGGTGATAGTAATTATGAGAAATGGTGGCGGTAGAAATGGTGGTAGTAAGATTATAAAGGAGGTGATAGTAATTTTAGAGAAATTATGAGAAATGGTGGCGGTAGTAATGGTGGAAGTAAGATAAGAATAAGGTGATAGTAATTATGAGAAATGGTGGCGGTAGCAATGGTGGTTGTAAGATATGAAGGAGGTGATAGTAATTATGAGAAATGGTAGCGGTAGTAATGGTGGTAGTAAGATAAGAATGAGGTGATAGTAATTATGATAAATGGTGGCGGTAGCAATGGTGGTTGTAAGATATGAAGGAGGTGTTAGTAATTATGAGAATGGTGGCGGTAGTAATGTATGTGTAGTAAGATAAGAATGAGGTGATAGTAATTATGAGAAATGGTGGCGGTAGCAATGGTGGTTGTAAAGATATGAAGGAGGTGATAGTAATTATGAGAAATGGTAGCGGTAGTAATGGTGGTAGTAAGATAAGAATGAGGTGATAGTAATTATGATAAATGGTGGCGGTAGCAATGGTGGTTGTAAGATATGAAGGAGGTGATAGTAATTATGAGAATGGTGGCGGTAGTAATGGTGATAGTAAGATAAGAATGAGGTGATAGTAATTATGAGAAATGGTGGCGGTAAAAATGGTGGTAGTGGTGATAGTAATTATGAGAAATGGTGGCGGTGGAAATGGTGGTTGTAAGATATGAAGGTGGTGGTAGTAATTATGAGAAATGGTGGCGGTAGCAATAGTGGTAGTAAGATAAGGTGGTGGTAGTAATTATGAGAAATGGTAGCGGTAGTAATTATGTTAGTAAGACATGAAGGTGGTGGTAGTCATTATGAAGTAATTAAGAGTGGTGGCAGTTATCATGGAGATGGTAGCCAATGATATTGAAGAATGTGATGATAAAAAGCTAGTTAGTAATAAAATTATGCGTTAAAAATTATGAGTAATGATGACACTGGCATATGCATGATGATGGCGTGGGTAGTAATGATGAGAAATGATATATATTGAGGGAATGATGAGATAATATTATAATGTCTGGCGGTAGTAATGATAAAAATGATTACAGTAGTAAAACTGACAAATGAACATGGCGATGGAAATAAAGAAGATCAAAGGATATAAGTAGTATTGATGAGTCTGATGATACTACAGAAATTAAACACGTGTATCACGATGTGGGCAGAACATCGTTCTTCATTGTTACTTCTATTTATTTTATCTTTATTTTTGTCGAATTACCACAACATAAGCAATAAAATAATATAAACTTGTTTCATAAATGGCGAACATTACGTGTTGTTAGTGCGAATGTAGTCCCCATTTTAAATGTTTAGTAAACACTTGTGTTGTGATAACCGAACTGAACCGGAAGAAAACAATGCGGATCTGACCCAAGACAAGAAAGAGGTGGTGCAAAACGTCAAACTATTAACTATACCAGTTGACTTCATTAAAACTAATAAGTTAGAGCTGGAACGACATAGCAAAAATCGGTGTCCTGTACTCAATTATTCATCAATTGAATTAATAAAGAGGTCATTATTCATAGAAAAGATATAACTTAGTTAAGTTAGGCATGGGTTTGATAATGATGATTCTGTGATACATTATTCATAAAGTTTATCATACAAAACATCAAGTAACTTCACACATTCATCCTCCAAACGTTGGTATGTTTACTTAGGCAAATATCATATTTGTTCTCTCTCAATCTACAACATTGTACTGACAGTGAACACAATGGAAATCAGAAATCCTAGATGTAATATGTTGACATATATTGACACTATACGTGACACGGACATTACTGTTACGGTAGTTGTGTATGTGTTACTTTAAATTGTTTACTGGACGGCGTGTGTGTATAAAATGACTGCTTTTGTTTCCTTTAACTTAGTTAAAAAGGGAGAACACCCATAGGTAACTTTAGCAATGTGTTACAGAAATGCACTTGTGGCATGATAAATCTCCTTCAAATCAGTTATTTGTTTGTCCGAGTAAAGCGCCACTATGTGTCCAAGTGTGTTCCTAACTAGCTACCATACTATCTTTGGAAGCCTCGTGAAAGAAAGTTTCAAACACTCGTTTTGTATTCTTCATTTCTGCCTTGAAAAATGCTTCCTTATTGTGTATCCAACTCGACAACTCTTAAAGTCTGCCAAATAATTATGTTGCAGAGATCGAGTTATCATGGTCATAGTATGAACCCCAGCACACACATCGTCTTATATCCACACAGAGTAATGGAAAAACGTATTCACAAATTCATACAAGACAAACATATATCGACAAATATTTTCAAAATTATAGAGTAAACTTTTCGTCGTCAAATTTTCAATGAAATATATGATAACTCGAGCTATTTTCATTATCAGATATTCAATGAGATGTGAATAAGATTATTTCTATCGTCAGATATAAAGTTATAGAGTCAAATGAGACATGAATCAAACTATTTTATCATCAATTACTCATTCAGTTATAGAATAAAACCAAAGTAAGTACTGAATGTATAGTAAACAGTGCCATCTGATCTTGGTCTGCACTGGTCGCAAGAATAAATTTCGTTGTCACCAGCACGCTTACGGTTAATACAGTCTGCGTCTTTCCTAAGATAATATTTCTAATTATTTCGTGACATGTTTCTTTTAGACCGATCTCTTTGAAATGTAAAGATATTGAAAGTTAGCGAACAATGCAAACTCTATTTCGTTAGTTTCATACTGTTAAAGCGTAACCTTAACGCATATTATCTGTAGTTAGCTATGTTGTATCAAAATTAGGTGATATCACAAATTCTTAATTTTATAACCGCGGTGACGCTTTTATTATCCATCGAAACTCGAATTTGTATCACATTGCATCATAGCAAATAATGGGTGCATCCCGTTGAATGTAGGATAGAATTGCACATCATTATTACACGCATATCTACACGCCCTCCGGCCAATACGTTACGTCATATTACGTAACACGTGACACAGTCTGGATAGTTTTACTGGCGGCCATTGATGGTAAGTAATTTGAACAGTTTATAAATTAGTTATCTGCGGAAAATTAGCGGTCAGTTGACCTTTACATCAGATAATGGACTTCGGAGATGGTCAATACAAATATATACATCTGATGATCACAAGGTTAAAGATGTAATTAAAAAAAAAACAAATAACCTTTTCCATAAAATATAATACCCGGTATTTAAACTGTTTGGTGTTGTGTTATGTAAACACTTAAATTCAACTTGACAGAACCAGGCTACCCTTTTGTTCAATGAAAAAAAAACCCCATCTCAAATGGCGAAATGTTAATGGTCGCCAAAAAAGTTTATTTTAGTATGTTTAACATTGATTCCCTGCTATAGTCAGTATGTTATACTAAAGCAGGCCCTATTGTCCGAGAAAAATAATGTAGCTGCTATTTTCTATTATTTATACATGTACATAAATCAGAGAAATAATAACAAATACATGTAAATACCAAAGGTGCATGTAAAACATTTCCAAGGGTTTTATTTTCCCAACTACAGTCTGTAACAAACTCTGAAAGTGAGGAAAATTAGCCTTTTATTAAAGCAACAAAAATTCCACAGTTTAGTCAATTACAAACATATGTATGCAATATTTTCCCAGGGTCTGTAGAAGTTATCGCCAAATCAAACTCAAGAGTTGTAAAAACAATTATATCCAACAGCTTTATATTTTTCTTGTTTTGTATTTATTTTATACTTTTTTCTTTTGTAAATATTTATTCTTCCGTGTTTGACTTTTTTTATAAGGTACAGTATGCATTTGGGTTATATTTTTATCTTTAAAATGGGAAAACGTGTTTAGTAACGTTGTACAAAGTATAACAACTGTTAAACAATTTTTCATACATGTAGGAAAACATAATAACAACAGTTTTCGCCCTTTTAATTTCAAATGTCATATTATTACAAAAAGAAGTTTATTTTCTTTAAAGTATAAAAGTTTTGAGTAATAACTAACCTCAATCTGTTCGAGCATTTTCACGTCTATATGTTCTCGCGTCATCTTTGAATTCCCGCTCTTCTTTTGTATGAATCACCTTCAAAAGTTCAATTTAAAATCCTTTTATTTTAGAAAAAAAACTATTTGATTCTCACAACACTGAATATTAACTTCTGTCTTAGAAAATCTCACAGGTTGTTTACATTTGTGCGTGTATCAGAAAGTGTAATGTTTAAAACATCAATCCTAAACTCTAGACAACTGCCGATATCCTTAACCCCTCAGGGCATATCAGTTTACACACAGGATGTTATCTCTCCATGCAGCGGCCCCTTTTATGATATCTCTGTACACATAACAAGTGTCGGGCCCTGTAAACCGCATGCTCGCAAACATTCAAGTAATAAAAGTGTGTAAATAAAAGCTATTGTATTGTCAACATCTATTAATAAATTTTAAAGATAAAACCTAAAATATAATCCCTTTACATTCATAACTACATCTTTTGGTAGAAATAATTGATGCAATAATAAAATTAGCTCAGCTACACGAATCAGTACTTAAATGTTTATAGCAAAACTTTAAAATATACTTTTATACTTTTTTGGTAAACTGAAATCCGCGGCAACTATTTCGCAACTGTACGTGTTCTCTCACTAACGTCTCTCCAATGAAAGTTTTCCAATACGAAATACCGGGAGCGCTTTTAAATTCCGCTTAACTTCGCAGGATATCCATTCTCTTAACGACAGTTATTAAAGTAATTCTTCTTTTTTCCTAATCCAAATTGGCCCACAGAAAGAAAGCCAATATGAAAAATGTTTCCATAGAACTGTTATTTAAATTTCGTGCAGTTCGGTAGTTAAAGGCACTCGAATATGTTCACTGCGACATTAGACCACGTTTCTTATGTATTAATCAGTCTACGGTAAAATACATGATATTTGCATTGATCAAAAATATTGTTTTATGAAAATATTGACGAATAAAATTGCTCTATGTTTAATTTCATCAGGCGTAAAAACTGAATTATATATTCATCGGAAATTAGCTTTTAACGTTAACACTAATTTTTCTATATCTTTCATATTTTTATGATTTAACGCACGCCTTTTCCCCGAACTTTTCCCTAGTCTTTACTGGAGTAATCTGATATATTGACTAACTACACAAATCGGTTATCTTGTTTTCTTCCTCTTTAATCGCAGTGGGCCAATGCCTGCCTGTCCACCTAATCACCATTCAAATTTACATTAATAGTCAATTAATTTACTATCTATCCAATAGCCGAAGTAATTAGTACTAGACCTAAACGAATCAGCAATTATGCTAATACGTGACTTGATTTGATAGAAAGGAAAACTGGTGATAATGTAGTTCAGTATTTTGGTTGTAACAAAGATTAGCTAGATCGGATTGCCGAGAAAAACCAGACTTCATTTTTTGATTAGAACAAGATTATACTTTACGTCTGATACAATGTATTTCCTAAAATAAAGCAGAGATTAGAAAATAAAAGGTTAGTATGTTTAAAAGAGCCTGTATGATTTTACAACAACATAAACTTGTAATGTTTCTTCTTAATAGATGGTCCAACGACACATTCAAATGTAAATATCAGTTGATAATGGTTCTATTTTAACTTTAAACTTTGGGATATAACAACAGGGAATGGAGTAGTAAGGGAATTAATATAACATAAAACGAGTCAAACGTGACTTTGAATTGAACAAATTTTGAATGATCAGCCTTACAATGCAATTAGACACGGTCAGAACGAGTCTGTCCACGAGGTGAAACCGGGACCAAACGCCACAGTCCGATTACCTACCACCCTAGCACCGCCTGAAGCAGCAAGACTGTCTCTACAAATTTACATTAAGTTAAGGACTTATAACGTTAGGTTTAAAATCCAAAGATACAGTGTTTTAAAAGAAACCATGATCATATTTGATATAAACATTTTCTCTTGGCATAGTATATTATTATTTATTTAAACACTCTGAAATAAATATTAAACATTCAAATATTTGAATGTGCATAAGTCTACATTGTACTATACACAATAGAAAAACAATGTTCCATATAGCAAGAACATTTTTGCAATATTTTATCAAGCGAGCAATGCGTGACAAAATGTCAACATTCTATATTTACATTCTATCCAATTAGCAAGTTTCAGTATTATATTCCATCGACTTTTAGGAATCAATGTATGTGTATAGGAATATAACTTACAGACTGCACCCTGGTCGCACATTATATCTTGCTGTTATCACATCGTTCTTTCTTCTTATAGAACTGAATCTCACTTAATCACACCGTATTACCGGCGGCAGTGATGGCAGATCACTGCACTGATGGCAGATATCTGAAAATTACCGATCGGTACAGGTAGGTTATAAATTTGGTTGGTTTAATTATATTGCACAAATACGGCCCATTTCATTGCTATAAAACTATTGTCCATTGAATGGAGATACTGTAAGGTAATTTTGGACTCGTTTTTTCCTGTTTTCAGACTATTTTGAGCAGGTTAAAAGTGAAAGCCTTAGAAAAATCCGTGAAAATGTCTGTTTTCTGTTCAAAATATCTCAAGTTTTAAGTAAATGGCAGGATTTCCTGTTATCAATATAGACGTTCATCCATTGGGGTCACGCAAGCCAAATATCTACCCCGTGAGTCTTTTCTTGAAAGTTTTACAGACGCTCAATCTTGTCCGGTCGAAGAAAAAATGCTGCCGTTGTAGGCAGATACATATTATAAAATGCTGCCGTCGATGGCAGAAATACCATGAAAGTGGCTAACATTCTGACAGAAAATCAAGTTCAATCTTTTATCAATTCGTCTTTTCTTTGCGTCCTTTTATTCAGAATTGAGACGTTAAACTATCATTTCTAATATGTTCTCAAGATAGAAAAGTTATTAACACATTACCCCATGAGCATCTTGCGAAAAATGGCTGTTTTCATTGAAAGGTCTCCCGTTACAAGTTCAAGTTGCTATAAAACTATAAAAACTGCTTCAATACTAATCAAACTTGGCACAAATGTTTGACTGGACCATTGCCTTTGTAACAACATGTTCAGTCTGAAAATTTCCTGTTACCATAGCAACTAGGGGACATCTCAAAATTGCCAAAAATCACTATTTTGCGTTGATTTTTTCCATCAAAATTGATTTCAAAGTGCTGCCACTTCTCAATGGATTGAGATAGAGTCAAAGGCTTTTCAGCATTGGTTACACGTTACCTTATGATCGACCTGGGGCCATTTTTAGCCTCCCACAAGTCCAAAGTTTTCTTGGCGATGAGGGGGACTCAGCCCCCCTTCAAACCCCCCAAACAGAAGGGGGCACATCCCCCTTCTGGTAACCCCCTGATGTATCTTTTGGATGGGGTGGGGGGCCGCGCCGAAAAAGTGGTCAATTTTTAAACAACATTTATCAAACAAAAAACAAGTGTTTGGGGGCCTAAATAAGGAATAAGGCATTTTTCACCATTTGAGAAAGCAAAAAAAGGGGGGGGTGAAAAAGGCGTAGAAAGGCGTATATATCTGGTAATGGGTTAACAGAAAATGATGAAAAAAAAACGAAATTACCCAAAAACGCGTTTTTCCATGTTAAAACATGGCCTCACATATAATTTTGAAGAAAAATTGCTGTTTTGTAGATTTTTTGATTTTTTTATTAATGCGGTATGTGCATCGAAAAAAAGCTTATTAGCAACATGCAGTTACAATACAAAAAGTTATGATTTAAGTACCACAAAATTTCACTATAAATAGAGAAATGAACATGAAAAAAACTTCATTTTTCTATATTCATGCATGTGTGCTTGATCTGTTGTGTCTGTCAGTTACATGCATACAATACTATATGTATCTTAAGTTTAGCAGCGCACTCCCTTTTTAAGACATAACGCCAATTGCATATTACAGCAAGTAACTTCTGTAAGTGGATATTCATTTGCTAGCATATGACATTATTTTCTCGAGGTAATAATGTTCATCGCTTTATGACAAATAAAGGCTGAAATTTACTTAATCGGCGCAGATTATAGATTATTAAATTGATGTAATAAAAGGGGAGACTATTAACCTCGCAACTGGCATCAGTGTATCATAAACAATGTATGTTAATGTAAAATGGAAAGATAATATTATTGACAGTTCAAATATTTTCCTATATTATCAAGTTCTTGAAAAACACGACAACGTGGATTCATTTCTTTAAATTTTCATGTTTGTAATAGCGTTGTAGTTTGCCTTTGAATTACATTTACTATGCTAAACTATTAACAACAGTTCTAACATCACGTGCTCCCATTTAACTATATATTTTTTCATTCATTTTAGTTGTAACCATGACAACTTATAAAGATGAACCTTTCGATGATTCATATCACAAGATGAAAATAAATCCTGTATTTATAGGAAAAACACTAGAATTTTTTGATTTGTTATATTCTTTTTCTCTTTTTTGACCTTTCAATTCATATGAACAGATCAAGCACACATGCATGAATATAGAAAAATGAAGTTTTTCATGTTCATTTCTCTATTTATAGTGAAATTTTGTCGTACTAAATCATCACTTTTTGTATTGTAACTGCATTTTGCTAAAAAGCTTTTTTCGATGCACACACCGCATTAATAACTTTTTCTATCTTGAGAAAATATTAGAAATGATAGTTTAACGTATCAATTCCGACTAAAATGACGCAAAGAAAAGAGGAATTGATAAAAGATTGAACTTGATTTTCTGTCAGAATGTTAGCCACTTTCGTGGTATTTCTGCCATCGACGGCAGCATTTATAATATGTATCTGCCTACAACGGCAGCAATTTTTCTTCGACCGGACAAGATTGAGCGTCTGTAAAACTTTCAAGAAAAGACTCACGGGGTAGATATTTGGCTTGCGTGACCCCAATGGATGAACGTCTATATTGATAACAGGAAATCCTGCCATTTACTTAAAACTCGAGATATTTTGAACAGAAAACAGACATTTTCACGGATTTTTTCCAAGGCTTTCACTTTTAACCTGCTCAAAATAGTCTTAAAACAGGAAAAAACGAGTCCAAAATTACCTTACAGTATCTCCATTCAATGGACAATAGTTTTATAGCAATGATATGGGCCGTATTTGTGTAATATAATTAAACCAACCAAATTTATAACCTACCTGTACCGATCGGTAATTTTCAGATATCTGCCATCACTGCAGTGATCTGCCATCACTGCCGCCGGTAATACGGTGTGTTAATGCCTGACGTTAATGGGTTCGCGTGAAGAGGGCAGGAGCTTGTTTGTTTTCCTCTCGAACAATGCTTTCAGCACACCAATAATCTAAATACATTGAAATTGGCACGTTAGGCAACCTCTTATTATTTCATTGTTATATATCCGTGATTTAAGCCGAGTATTGATAAATACATGGAACAAATAAACGTATCGTATTTTTTAGCAATCGGAAATCGTTCGAATACATGTATAGTCAATATTTTGCGCACAAATGGGCTTAGGAAACGCCGTCAAAAGATAATACATGTACAAAACTTAGAAACGTGAACATTTTGAGAAATGTAATACATGAACTACATTCCTGTGTATATTTCAGCTGTCAAATAGCTATTTATAGCCTTCTATTAGAACGGTCCTATTTCTTTAAATTGTTTTATTTTCTGTGAAGACCATTAGGGAACAATTATGAGGTATTCTCCGACTAACAAGAAGAAGATTTTCCTCATTTAAGGTAAG